GTAGTATAGTGACAGGTTAGGGTAGTATAGTGACAGGTTAGGGCAGTATAGTGGTAGGTTAGGGCAGTATAGTGGTAGGTTAGGGTAGTATAGTGGCAGGTTAGGGTAGTATAGTGACAGGTTAGGGCAGTATAGTGGTAGGTTAGGGCAGTATAGTGGTAGGTTAGGGTAGTATAGTGGCAGATTAGGGCGGTAGTTAGGATAATATAGCGGCAGGTTAGGGTAGTAAGGGTGCAGGTTAGGGTAGTATAGTGGCAGGTTAGGGCGGTATAGTTAGGTTAGGGCAGTATAGTGGTAGGTTAGGGCAGTATAGTGGCAGATTAGGGTAGTATAGTGGCAGGTTAGGGTAGTATAGTGGCAGGTTAGGGTAGTATAGGGGCATGTTAGGGCAGTATAGTGCTAGGTTAAGGGTAGATAGTGGCATGTTAGGGCAGTATAGTGCTAGGTTAGGGTAGTATAGTGGATGATTAGGGCGGTAGGCATAGTGCGGCAGGTTAGGGTAGTATAGTGGCAGGTTAGGGTAGTATAGTGGCAGGTTAGGGCAGTATAGTGGCAGGTTAGGGTAGTATAGTGGTAGTTAGGGCAGTATAGTGGCAGGTTAGGGTAGTATAGTGGTAGGTTAGTGCAGTATAGTGGCAGGTTAGGGCAGTATAGTGGCAGGTTAGGGTAGTATAGTGGTAGGTTAGGGCAGTATAGTGGCAGGTAGGGTAGTATAGTGGTAGGTTAGTGCAGTGGCAGGTTAGGGTAGTACAGTGGCAGGTTAGGGTAGTATAGTGGCAGGTTAGGGTAGTATAGTGCTAGGTTAGGGTAGCAGATTAGGGTAGTATAGGACAGGTTAGGATAGTATGGTGGCAGGTAGGGTGGTATAGTGGAAGGTTAGGGTAGTACAGTGGTAGGTTAGGGTAGTACAGTGGCAGGTTAGGGTAGTATAGTGCCTAGGTTAGGGTAGTATAGTGGCAGATTAGGGTAGTATAGTGACAGGTTAGGATAGTATGGTGACATGTTAGGGTGGTATAGTGGCAGGTTAGGGTAGTAAAAATATCCAGGAACTCTCCACCACCGGATATCCACTCACCTCCAGCATAATATCGTGACCTCACATAATATCATGTTTGGTCTAACCGCGCTTTTCGATGGACCCCAATAGGACTTCACAACTTCGTAGAAATCATTCTCCATCCATAATGTCACCTCATATATAAAAACTCTGCAGTTCTCAACCTTTTCAATGCAGAGGAACCCTTGACATAATCTCAGGGAACCCGGCTAAAAATGACTTTATCTACAACTCATGATACATTAGTGTGACAGTCAGAGGTAAGAATGCTCCTTCCGCTTGTGGTTACTGGGGCGAATGACAACATTACAGATTGCTCAACCGATCAATGGTGTCAGTGGGAACTTACCCGAGAGGCGAAAATTGCTCATTTCCCAAGGAACCCCTAGCAGCCTCTGGAGGAACCCTGGCTGAGAAACCCTGACGTAAAGTAAAACAATATACTAAAACAATGTAATAACTAAACCTCAAAGATAAAATGCGCCCTCACATGTGGTGGGCGCTCAGTGGCATCAAATACAAACAACATATAAGACCGGCATAGGCTCCTCTGCTCAGGATCCGTAGTCCTATGCAATGAACTTTCCACTGCGATTGTAGTGGCGGCACTTCATATATACCGCTAACTTCATGCAACGTCATGACGTCATCCAACGCCGCGAGGGCCTCATGTGAAAGAGTCTGATGTGCTGATATGTTTTCTATGACCACTAGAGATGAGCGAATCGAACATGACGAAGTGGAATTCGTTTCGAATATTAGGAAAAATTCGATTCGCGCCGAATCCGAAAATTAGCAAACTTCGGATGCACGAATCGAATTTTCCCCGATCGGCCGATTTTCATCCCTTCTACAGCCGGCAAAAAGTGTCCCTGCAGAGAGCTCCGCAATTTCTGACAGTTCTCTGACAGTTCCTTCACATTTACAGCGGTTGAAACATTGTATCTATTTGTTTCCATTTGGGATACAGATGTTTTAATTCGGAAACAAATAGATACAATGTTTCAACCGCTGTAAATGTGAAGGAACTGTCAGAGAACTGTCAGAAATAGCGGAGCTCTCTGCAGATACACTTTTTGCTGGACTGGAATTCTTCTTATTTTCATCCTACTTCTTCTTCTTCTTCATCATCCTCATCCTCATCCTCTTCTTCTTCTTCTCTTCTTCTTCATCCTCATCCTCTTCTTCTTCTTCATCCTCATCCTCTTCTTCTTCTTCTTCTTCTTCTTCATCCTCATCCTCTTCCTCTTCTTCTTCTTCTTCTTCATCCTCATCCTCCTCTTCTTCATCCTCATTCTCTTCTTCTTCATCCTCATCCTCTTCTTCTTCATCCTCATCCTCTTCTTCTTCTTCACCCGCATCCTCTTCTCTTCTTCTTCTTCATCCTCATCCTCCTCTTCTTCTTCTTCTTCTTCTTCTTCTTCTTCATCATCATCCTCATCCTCTTCTTCTTCTTCTTCTTCTTCTTCTTCTTCTTCCTCACCATCATCCTCTTCTTCTTCATCATCCTCATCCTCTTCTTCATCCTCATCCTCCTCTTCTTCTTCTTCTTCTTCTTCTTCATCCTCATCCTCTTCTTCTTCTTCTTCTTCTTCTTCTTCTTCTTCTTCTTCATCCTCATCCTCTTCTTCTTCTTCTTCCTCTTCTTCTTCATCCTCATCCTCATCCTCTTCTTCTTCTTCTTCATCCTCATCTTCTTCTTCTTCTTCATCCTCATCCCTCTTCTTCTTCTTCTTCTTCTTCCTCATCCATCATCCTCTTCTTCTTCATCATCCTCATCCTCTTCTTCATCCTCATCCTCCTCTTCTTCTTCTTCTTCATCCTCATCTCTTCTTCTTCTTCTTCTTCTTCCTCTTCTTCTTCATCCTCTTCTTTCTTCTTCATCCTCATCTTCTTCTTCTCCTCATCTCATCTCTCTTCTTCTTCTTCTTCTCTCCTCATCCTCTCCTCTTCTTCTTCTTCATCCTCATCCTCTTCTTCTTCTTCTTCTTCTTCTTTTTCTTCTTCTTCTTTCTTCTTCTTCTTCTTCTTCTTCCTCATCTTCTTCTTCTTCTTCTTCCTCTTCTTCTTCTTCTTCTTCTTCATCCTCTTCCTCTTCTTCTTCTTCTTCTTCATCCTCATCCTCTTCTTCTTCTTCTTCTTCTTCTTCCTCATCCTCTTCTTCTTCTTCTTCTTCCTCATCCTCTTCTCTTCATCCTCATCCTCTTCTTCTTCTTCATCCTCATCCTCTTCTTCTTCTTCTTCATCCTCATCCTCTTCTTCTTCTTCTTCTTCTTCATCATCATCCTCATCTTCTTCTTCTTCTTCTTCTTCTTCTTCATCATCCTCATCCTCACCATCATCCTCTTCTTCTTCTTCATTCTCATCCTCTTCTTCAACCTCATCCTCTTCTTCTTCTTCTTCATCCTCATCCTCTTCTTCTTCTTCTTCCTCATCCTCATCCTCTTCTTCTTCTTCTTCTTCTTCTCATCCTCATCCTCTTCTTCATCATCCTCATCCTTTTCTTCTTCATCATCTTCATCCTCATCCTCTTCTTCTTCTTCTTCTTCTTCTTCTTCTTCTCATCCTCATCCTCTTCTTCTTCTTCTTCTTCTTCTTCTTCTTCTTCTTCATCCTCATCCTCTTCTTCTTCATCCTCATCCTCTTCTTATTCCTCATCCTCATCCTCTTCTTCTTCTTCTTCATCCTCATCCTCCTCTTCTTCTTCTTCTTCTTCTTCTTCATCATCATCCTCATCCTCTTCTTCTTCTTCTTCTTCTTCTTCCTCACCATCATCCTCTTCTTCTTCTTCATCCTCATCCTCTTCTTCATCCTCATCCTCTTCTTCTTCTTCTTCTTCCTTCTTCTTCATCCTCATCCTCATCTCTTCTTCTTCTTCTTCTTCTTCTTCATCCTCATCCTCTTCTTCTTCTTCATCCTCATCCTCCTCCTCCTCTTCTTCTTCTTCTTCTTCTTCTTCTTCTTCATCCCTCATCCTCTTCTTCTTTCTTCATCCTCATCCTTTCTTCTTCTTCTTCTTCCTCTTCCTCATCCTCTTCTTTTTCATCCTCTTCTTCCTCTTCTTCTTCTTCATCCTCTTCTTCATCCTCTTCCTCTTCTTCTTTTTTTCTTCTTTTTGTCTTCCTCTTGCAGGTCACTGCTCATGCGCAGATTTTTTATCGGCAAAAAATCGTCCGATTTGCCCACTATTGCCGCGAAAATCGGCCGATTTTTATTTTCGGCCGAAAAATCGGCAGATTTTCGACCCATCTATGGCCTGCATTAGGGCCACAGAGACTTTAGGGCCACAGAATCGTTACTCAGGGACACAGAATCGTTACTCAGGGACACAGAATCGTTACTCAGGGACACAGAATCGTTAGGGACACAGAATCGTTACTCAGGGACACAGAATCGTTACTCAGGGACACAGAATTGTTACTCAGGGACACAGAATCGTTACTCAGGGACACAGAATCGTTACTCAGGGACACAGAATTGTTACTCAGGGACACAGAATCGTTACTCAGGGACACAGAATCGTTACTTAGGGCCACAGCTATCAAAGAATCGAAAATTTAAAGTGACATACACCCTTTTTTTTTTTTGGTGGCTGTCGTGCACAGTTGGTGCTGCAGTTTGCCGATTGTGCAAAATAAACTGACTTTCTGCTTCACAACCACTATTGTACGTTCAAAGAGTTAAATCCATTTACACGCCGGCTGGCGGTAATATTTTTTGGTGTGATTAGTGCATTCCAGTGACACAAACGTACAGTTTCCAGCCAACGGCAAGCTGCAATTGACCGATTGTGCTAAATAAACTGACTTTCTGCTTCACAACCACTATTGGCCTTCAATTGAAGCTGCTTCTGCTCCGCCACTCTGCCATTGGACTCTTGATAGTCGTCTCCCCACGCTGCTGCTGGGGGGACTTTTTAACCTAGGCCTGTGTATGGCCTTCAATTGAAGCTGCTTCCGCTCCGCCACTCTGCCATGGGCCCCTGTACCGCCTCCTCATGCTGCTGCCAGGCCCGTAATCTGCCATGGGCCCCCGTACCGACTCCTCATGCTGCTGCCAGGCCCGTAATCTGCCATGGGCCCCTGTACCGCCTCCTCATGCTGCTGCCAGGCCCGTAATCTGCCATGGGCCCCCGTACCGACTCCTCATGCTGCTGCCAGGTCCAGAGTGTCTCATGGGTCCCTGTACCGCCTCCTCATGCTGCTGCCAGGTCCAGAGTGTGTCATGGGTCCCTGTACGGCCTCCCATTGCTGCTGTCTCCATCGCCACACTCTGCCATGTGCCACTTTCAGGTCTCCTCACACTGCTGGTGGGTTCCATTTTGTCATAGGGTGCTGTATGGCCTCCCATTGCTGCTGCCTCCACCGCCACACTGTGGCTCCACACTCTGGTTTTGGCCCCGTGACTGCCCAAATGAGTGAAGTGTGCGGTGATTCTAAGATCGACGGCACTCATCTGCATGTCATACTGCCTGACAGTATTATTTCTCTTCCCCAGCAGACTCCAAGGGCATTTAAATTAAAGGTACAGTGTTCTGCACTAATATAAAGGCTCTCTGAAGCCTAGAAACCCTTTTTATAAGTTAAATTCGCAGCGAATAAATTCGCATCGAATCGAATTTATTCCGCAAATTCGGCGAATCAGCCGAATCAAATTTTTGAATAATTCGCTCATCTCTAATGACCACCATCATTGCTTTTATAAACTATTTTTCAGTATGTTATTATTTTTTTATAATTCTTTTGTCACATTATTATATTAGAAGTTATATTATATTAATATTAATTCCAATATAGTTTTATTGGAACTCTCAGGAGTTGCAGTATATTTACCATGATTCTTATAGAGTGAACTTTCACTGCTTCGTATGATCGTCACAATGGAGATGATCTATTTTTGTATTTATTATGATGATATTTTATTTACTCTTATACATTTTTCTATTTATATATTTTAATTGTAACCACCATGATGGATTTATTACAACGATGGCCTTGTGTGAAAGAGTCCGATGTGCTGATATGTTTTCTATGACCACCATCATTGCTTTTATTTTTTTTTCCAAAAATACTTTTATTAGAAGAAGAAAGGCATATCAAAGCACATACAGTTGTGTTCAAAATAATATCAGTCAGACATCACTAACCGGATCAATCACTGTTTTTGGTAGAAATGATATTTCTACATGGCAAATAATTTCCTAGCAGGTGTAGTAGAGTCATAGAAATCCAACAGACCCAACAGTCATGACATGCATGCTGCTGATTCTGTGTCATTGAATCACTCATTGAAAGGGGCGTGTTCACAATAATAGCCGTGTGGAGTTCTATTAGTGAGGTCATTCATTCTTTGAAAAACAGGTGGCAATTATTGCCCTTATTTAAGAAAGGAAGGCAGCAAATGTTGGACATGCTGGTTACAGTGCATTTCTCTCTGAAATTCTGAGGAAAATGGGTCGTTCCAGACATTGTTCAGAAGAACAGCGTACCTTGATTAAAAAGTGGATTGGAGAGGGGAAAACATATAAAGAAGTGCAGAAAATGATCGGCTGCTCAGCTAAAATGATGGCAAATGCTTTAAAATGGCAACCAAAACCTGAAAGACGCGGAAGAAAGCGAAAGCGAAAAACTACCATTGGAATGGATAGAAGAATAGCCAAAATGGGACGGACTCAGCCAACAATCAGCTCCAGGAAGATGAAAGAAGGTGTGACGTTCCCTGTGAGGACTGTTACAATTAGAAGACGCCGATGTGAAGCCAAGCTATCTGCAAGAAGTCCCCGCAAAGTCCCACTGTTGGGAAAAAGACATGTGCTGAAGAGGTTACAATTTGCCAAAGAGCACATTGACCGGCCTAAAGAGAAATGGCGCAACATTTTGTGGACTGATGAAAGTAAGATTGTTCTTTTTGGGTCTAGTGGGCGGAGACAGTTTGTCAGACGACCCCCAAACACTGAATTCAAGCCACAGTACACTGTGAAGACCGTGAAGCATGGTGGTGCAAGCATCATGATATGGAGATGTTTCTCATACTACGGTGTTGGGCCTATTTATCGCATACCAGGGATCATGGATCAGTTTGAATACATCAGAATACTTGAAGAGGTCATGCTGCCTTATGCTGAAGAGGAAATGCCCTTGAAATGGGTGTTCCAACAAGACAACGACCCCAAACACACCAGTAAACGTGCAACATCTTGGTTCCAGACCAACAAGATGGACGTTATGGAGTGGCCAGCCCAATCCCCGGATCTTCATCCAATAGAAAACTTGTGGGGTGACATCAAAAATGCCGTTTCTGAGGCCAAACCAAGAAATAGAGAAGAACTGTGGAATGTGGTCCAATCATCCTGGGCTGGAATACCTGATCACAGGGGCCAGAAGTTGGGGACTCCATGCAACACAGATGTACAGCAGTTCTCAGAAACAGTGCGACTACAACCAAATATTCATGAAGTCATTCAAAGGAAAGCAAAATCTTCAAACATTTCTCAGTTTATATAGTGAATGTTTGAGTTTGGAAAGAAGAATACAAACACTGCGATTTTTTTGAACCGTCTAATATTCACTTTTCTTCAATTCTTTTAGAGGAACAACACAAATTTGATGTATTTTTCTTCATGTTGTGATTTGGAATAGAATGTGTCGTGTTCCCAATGCATTTGTGTGGATGGAAATAAAAGGATTAGAAGGATTTTCAGCTTTATTCACTTTTTTTCAACACACTGCTATTATTTTGAACATAACTGTACAACTACGGATCACAGTCCGAACATAGACACAGCACGTAGCCTCCTGTTTTGCAGACGGGTCATGGGTTTAAACTGCATTACAAATCGAGGTGGGATATAACATTGTATCAAGTGTATATTATAAACCAGCAGATACAAATAGTATAATAGATAAGTCGATATAGGTATATTGAATACTGACCTATGTAATAGTGAGCTCTTATGTTAAGGCGGTGTGGAGTGTCGGGTAAGGATAGCACATGATGGTATGTTATGATTTGTGTGTCCATATCAGGAGCGTGTGAGCTACGTACGTGAAATTAGTTGCACCTGTATGAGAGTAAATGCTCTAATTTGTTGGGGATATATGAATAATTAGGGCGTGTAAAATGTGTGAGAGATAAAGAGAAGTCAGAAAGGAGAATAGTTAGAGAAGGAAATGTAGAGTGAGGTAGTGAGGGGGGAGGAGGATATGAGAAAAAAGAAAGAGGGGGGGGGGATAGGTAAGGGGTAAAGGGGATGTAGAATGGGTAATTGCGCATAAAATAGATCACATGATTTTGTACGAGCCGAGCCACAAAGATAGTCATATAGCTTAGGATGCAATACGTGTAACATCAATGGGGCAGCATGTGGGTCAAGAACCTGGAAGGCAGACCACGATGCCGAGTCCCAGCCCATCCAAACATCATTGCTTTTATAAACTATTTTTCATAATGTTTTGGCTCATGTTATCATTTTTGTACCATTTTTTGTCACATTATTATATTAGAAGTTATATTATATTACTACCATTATTATTATTTCCAGTATAGTTTTCTTGTAGCTCTCAGGAGTTGCAGTATATTTACCATGATTCTTAGAGAGTTAACTTTTCACTGCTTCGTATGATCGTTATATTGAAGGTAATACGTTTTTGTATTGATTATGATGGTATTTTGTTTACTCTTATACAATTTGTTGTTTATATGTTTTAATTGTAACCACCATGATGGATTTATTACAACGATGGCCTTGTGTGAAAGGGTCCGATGTGTTGATAAGATTACTATGACCACCATCATTGCTGTTATATACTATTTTTCAGTATGTTTTGGCCCATGTTATCATTTTTGTACCATTTTGTTGTCACATTATTATATTGGAAGTTACATTACATTCTATTCTATTCTATTATTATTATTAATAATAATAATAATAATAATAATTCCAGTATAGTTTTTTTGTAGCTCTCAGTAGTTGCAGTATATTTACCATGATTCTTAGAGTTAACATTTCACTGCTTCCTATAACACTGTTCAACAAATTTTTATTTTTTTGCCAGTTTTGGAAACAAAAGGATCCATTTCTTAATGAATTTCACATTCTGAGTTCAAATATAACAATGAAATTTGTCAATTGGCTCTAGTTTTTCTGTAAACGGAAAGTTTTCTACTATAGGCATAATGACTACATAATGCACAATAATTATATAGATAGATGTCTTTCCACAAATATAAAGCAAGTGATATTGACTACATAACAAAGCCTAAATGGCATAATATATTGCATAGGATTACCAAGAAAAATGATAGCCATAAGCTAAGTTGAATCATTTTAATACTTAGGATTCTCACTAGTTTTGTCTTCAGTTTGTGTCGGTTTTGCTTCTCTTGGCTTTTCTCTTGTATTCGAGGAAAGGGCTATCTCTTACAACTGCACGTGACTACACGCTTCAGGTTCTTCCTCACTTGACTCAACCACGAAGGATTCTGGTGCTTTAGGAATTGGTAGCCCCTCTCCATGAGGAACTGGACGTATTGCCGATGGAATATTTGGATAGTGCACAGATAACTTTTTCTTCTTATTTAGCCCTTTTACAATTGGAGGCACCATACAAAAGTAACAATTACTAACATGATCTGTTGGCTCTCTCCAAATCATTGGCACAGCGAAAGGCATAGATGCCTTTTTTCCATTCAACCATTGCTCCAGTGCCGTCCCACAAGAATTGCAGCATATATGTGGTGCCCAGCTCTTGTCCTGGTCTCCTATCTTGCAGCCAAAATACAAGTTGTAGGCTTTCTTAATCATTCCTGTTATCCTCCTTTTTTGTGAGATAAAAGTTATTTCACCGCAGATATAGCAGAAATTATCTGCTTTATTCACACAAGTTCGAGGCATTACTGAGTAGCCTATATCAGCATAAAACGAAATGTAAAGACAAACTCCAATCAGCTACAGATACTGCAGCTTTTATGCAGTGAAGTGATGCAATTAAAGGCTAATATTGCATCATCTCAGTGTACATGACATTTTCTATTGGTCACCAGTATCAATTGCGCAATATGCAGCTGAAGTTGCATCATAATTTTGAATGGCTTACGTCATTAGATGGGTGAATATATCATGGTAGAGCCAATCAACATTTTTAAGGGTCATTTTCGTTTTCAGCACCCCAAAAATTATGTAAGATTAGCTAATTTTATGCCCAAAACTTTTTACCTGTTGAACAGTGTTATCGTTATAATGGAGATGATACGTTTCTATATGTATTATGTTGATATTTTGTTTACTTGTATACATTTTGCTATTTACATATTTTAATTGTAACCAA